TGAACGAACCACCGCGACACCGCCCTTAGCTGGTGGCGGCAATGCAAAGCCCAGTGTTTTGGTAACTGTGGGTGGTCAGATGTGAGAAATTTTCCCCCAGGAAGAAAAACAGTCTGGAGGTTGCATGTCATATTGTGTGTGTGAGAGAGAGAGAGAGAGGCAGGGGTTTTGTGATAGTTTTGAACAAAACTTAGGACTTGAGATTAATGGTGAAACTATAAACGAGTTTCAAGTGGTCCTTCAAAAGCTAGCTTAATTTATTGACACATGAATAAAACATAGTGTATCATTCGAGATTAATGGTGACCGCAAGGGTCCTCCACTTCTGTGGGTGGCTGGAGTGGTTGCACGATAAACACAAGCCCTGTAGTAAATTTCTGTCCCTATCAGAACTTTAACATAAGCCAAATTGGAATAGTCCAATGAGTTCTGATATTTGATGCAAAATGGTTATCTAGACCACGATTATTGTTGTGCAATTTTCGCAATTTTATCAATGTATGGATGAAATTTTTTAAAGATCGAAAAAGATAAGATGTCACGGTTCTCTTGTTAAATGAAATTGGACCTCCATGAATGCGACTTGAAATGTTACCCATCGCTAACCTCACTAATTAATGTCCATGGCTAATACCTCCCAAATAATGTCTATCTCGATGGTATCAATAATGGAGTTGACTATGGTATTGAATTTTTTTTTTTTTGATATCTGATGATACCTAAAGTAAATTCCAAGTGCTAAGCTCAGGAGGTTAGCTCGGACCAGAGGGTAAGGGCCGAGTGTCTCTTAAGGCAAGATAACAGCTGGATAACCACGAGAGGATCCTAAAGCATTAAGAAACTGTAATAAAGACACCCAATCTCAACCAACAAAGATCTTTTCCTAGAATTAAGGAGAAGCCCACGAAACAAAAACAAGAATCTCGGCTAAGATCCTTCTTAGCAGGGAAGGGCCTTATAAATGCAAGGTAACACCCCCTAATGGGAGGGGGAACCCTGGTGGCAAAAAGAAGCCATAGCAACCTAGTAATCACCGTAAATAAAATAAAAGGAGCAAGAATCTCCATTAAAAAGTGGATTAGCCGAGCTCCC